ATAGGTTTCTCGTCAGACCCTTTTGCCCTTAAAAGTGACATTTTTCGTCGTCCTTCACTTTTATTCCCCCCCCTACCCCCCCCCCCCCCCCTCTTTTACGTCATTTCTTCATTCAAATTTACCATCTTTCCAAAAGAAAAATATTCAGAACTTTTATTTTCCATATTCTATCTCTATCATATTGCTTAAATCATAAACAAGGTTAAAAAAAAAGAAAAAAAAGATATATCATCCAAACAATTGCAAGTGCTTGTGTAATATATAGGATAAATGTGCTAAATTATTTATTGTGTTAAAATTTTATTATATTTAAATATAAGTTTTACAATAATTATTAGGGCTCCACGTGGGAGGCACGTGAAATAGAGATTAATTTGAACAAATTTGATTAAGCCCTACACAACTACCGGAATAAGATTTAACATTTTTGTGTTAAGGATAGATTGTCTCAGCTACTCTTGGTTTTGCTTGAGCAAGAAGTGGCAATGCACAAAAGAGATCACTCTTCCATGACTCAATTAAGTCATTGCGTGGTGAATTTGGCGGTAATCTCCAAGTAAACCCGTCATGAAGCCTAGCAAGTAACATGGTAGTAATGGTAGAACCAAGTTTCACACCAAGGCACCCTCGTCGTCCAATACTAAACGATAACAAGCGTAACTCTGAATCATTGAGAACTACTTCACCATTGTTTTTCTTGAGATAGCGCTTAGGCTTAAACTTCATCGGCTTCTCCCAAACTCTAGGATTCCGATCAAGTCCAAGACGACTTAATAGCACCACACTCCCTTTGGGGATGAAGTATTTTTCACTAATAATAGTACTAGAAACAGAGACTTGAGGAACGTTAAAAGGCGATATTGGGTAGAGACAAAAGGCCTCTTTTATGCAAGCTTTGACATAATTTAGCCGTGCCAAGTCTGATTCTTGAACTAATCTATTGCTCCCAACAACAATGTTGAGTTCTTCTATGACTCTTTGCATCGATTGTGGTTGGTTCAATATTTCTGCAAGTGTCCATTCAACTGCATTTGAGGGATTATTAATTGTTGCCAACATGAGTTTTTGTATATTAACCGTTGGTAACAAGTCAGACATATCAGCACCATTTTACAAGGTGAACATTAGATTATTTTTGAAAGTAATTATTTATATGGTGGGTTGAAGGGAATGGAAATGTTTTAATTTGTCTTGAAATTTGGTAGTCTTTTTTATCGTTCTGAATTATAATTCAATCAGAAAAGCCATTCGTGCCATCCAAGTAAATATATTACTATTCATTGTAATATGATATTAAGGAAGAAAACAGCGACCATTTTAAACAAATATTTCATTTTAGTTAAATGAGGGGTCACACAATTCAACAATGTCATTCACATGGATTAGGGGATTGAAAGTATACTTATAAGGACTTGTGTTTTAATCTCTTTAACATTCATCAACGGATTCCCAGTGGCATCCTTGAGCATTATAAGAACATCAAGGATGTCCTCTTCCACAGTTTTGTTGCCATCCTTCCAAATCTGAATCCTCTGATCAATTTTAATATCAATGTGTTTTGTTGTTGTGGCAAAGGCTTTCTTTGATAATTTTCTTTGTGACCATCAAAATACAAACAACACTTAACAATNCTCGAAATCGGATGAATTTAACATTTTCAGAACTCTCGTACTCTCACGAGTCTAACCATATAAAAATCTCTCAAATCGGAGGTCAAACACCCCCTCAAAACTCAATAATTTGATCTATGAAGTTTTACCCATTTTTCATTCAAAATCTGAAATTAAAGGATGAAATTAAGAGGAGATTCATGGAAATTTGTCTAAATCGAGTGAGAAGCACTTACCCAAGACGCCCAGGTGAAAATCCCTTCAAAAATCGCCAAGAACCGAGCTATAGAAGTCAAAATGTGATAAAAATGGTGAAACCCTCGAATTTGGGATTTAATCTGTCTGCCCAATGATTTGTTCATCGCGATCGCGGAACAACGGTCGCGATCCCATAGAGGAAATTTGAGAAAGCCCAGAAATGTACATCGCGTTCGGGTGAAGAGGGATGCGAACGCGAAGGGCGATGAGATGGTGGCTTATGCGATTGCGTAGGAGCTCATGCAATCGCGAAGTAAAGAAGAATAGACCATCACGATCGCGGAAGGCTTAATGCGAACGCGATGAAGGTTTTTGAGGTGGTCTTCAGCAAGGCATCACGATCACGCGAGAATCATCGCGATCGCGTAGAAGGATATCAGAAGCAGCAGTTACAGCAGTCCAAAATGGAGGAAAAATGATCCGTAGCCCACCCGAAATACACCCGAGGCTCCTGGGACCCCGTCTAATCACACACACAAGTCATATAACCTAACACGGACTTGCTCGAAGTTTCAAATCACATAAAACAACATCGAAACGACGGATCAAACAAAAAATCAAGCTTATGAACTTCCAAATCTTCAAATATTGAATCTCATGCCGAAACCTATCAATTCAACTCGGAATGACGCCAAATTTTGCAGATACGTCCAAAATAACATAACCGAGCTGTTCCAACTCTCGGAATCGCATTCCGACCCCGATATCACAAAAGTTAACCGTGGGTCAAACATCTTCATTTTCCAACTTCAACTTTCGCCGAAATGCCTCAATTCACTCCACGGACATCCAAATTTGAATCCGGACGCGCGCCTAAGTCCAAAATCACCATACGAAGCTGTTGAGATCATCCACGACCCATTCTGGGGTCGTTTACCCAAAAGTCCAATTTCGGTCAATTTTTCATCGTTCTAACTTCCAAAACTAGATTCCTTCTTCCAATTTGACTCTAAACCATCCGAAACCGAATTCCACCATGCACGCAAGTCGATACTCATATTCCGAAGCTGTTCCAGACCTTATGCCGCCGAACGGAGCTTAATTTCTCAAAACGACCGGTTGGGTCGTTACATCCTCCCCCTCTTAAAACCAACGTTCGTCCTCGAATGTGCTAAGATTCGCCTCGAAGTCCTCAAGCCACTGAGTGCGCACTTCCAACATACACTCGCGGGTGATCCCACGTCACCCCAATCCACTTAAGCCTGACGACACCATCTCAACTGAAATTTAACCTTTCTAGCAATACCTATTAGCCTTCAAGCCAGAATCTCACCTTCCATTCGTTTCCAGAGGACCCGATCCTAAATCCATATCCGGTATCAGTCTCAACCAGCTGCTTCAATTCACGCCAACACACACAAGGTACAACCACACAACATGACACACCACACATAGGCCCACAATGATATTTGTGATAGCAATACTTGCCTGAGATCAAATCCGTACCCGCCATAAGCCTCATATTCGATAGGAACTCTCCTCAAACCTCCACGACACTGGCAATGATACAATAACCACGAAAACCACAAAGCAAAACACCCGAACAACCAAATCTCAGCGAATACCAACGGGCACACACCCCACAAACTAAAACTCAAGAAGCTTAGAAAGAAAATGAATGAATATGGGAAAGGAAAAGACATAAGGGAACTATCAAACAAGTCAAACTAGCACAAGTTCTTCTAAAGCACAAATCTACCAAACATCTAACAAGAAAGAATGAAAGCATATAAAAGACTCACAAGGATCTTATACTGATATCACCCTCACCGCGGTACACAGCCCGGTCTCAACATATCAAATCACTTGAAATCACGAGGGTCCCGCCCTCAACACTAAATCATAAGTAGGGCATACATCAACCCATCTAGAGACTCACACTAGATAATTCCGTCTACAACACACAACACAGACTGGCTCCCACACCGGTGGAGCATAGAAATCACAGCTCGTAACAAAGAATACTCAGAAATCACATCAAACCTACCGAAATAGACAACATGAATTTACTACTAGCCTCATAACTCTCGACAACAGCTAGAAACGGACGATAGACACGGCTATCACTCATAAAACCTACCAACGGGATAATCACATAAATAGAGTGCAAATCATGAAGTGCACCCATAACTGGAATCAACAAATAAGGGAACTCACCCCGATAAGCAGAACTGTGATGAACTACAGATAGTGCCCCCCTATAACAAACCAAATCCCTACCTGAATGACATTCAACTGGCGCACCGGCCTCAAGCCTACTATATGAAAAACATCAACGAGCCGGGCCTCCCCCCTCTTGGGCGCCCTCTACCTGCCTGAATATCTCGCAGTGACACATCGGTCCGAAGTCTGGGATAATCTCTCACCATGTAGCAAGTATCTCCACACTCAAAGCACCCTCTCTGCTGATGAGGCGGTGGGAACTGTGCGATACGGGTACTCCGAGACCCATGAGCACCTGAGTCACCATGCAAAGTCTGAAGCGCGAACTGAACTGGCTGACCCGCAAAACCTCTACTACGACGCACCCTGCCTCCAAAATAAGGACCAGTATATCTCCCTAATCTACGAGGCCTCCTCGCCTCCTCAAACTCTCTCTCCGGATCACATCTGCTCTCTTTCTCGTGACCCTGCCTGCCCCCTCTCTCTCTCTAGCATGCATAGCCTCTATCCTCCTAGCAATGTTCACCACCTGCTGATATGGAATATCCATCTCCAACTCATGAGCCATACTGGATCTGATGCTGGGAATAAGCCCCTCAATGAACCGGTGAACCTTCTCGCGAACAGTAGAAACCAAGGCTGGGGCATGTCTAGCTAAACTGGTGTAACGGATAGCATACTCCGAGACGGTCATAACACCCTGGAGCAAATGCTCAAAGTCCGCGCGCCATGCATCCCTGAGACTCTGAGGAACAAACTCTCTCAGGAACATGTCTGAAAACTGGGTCTAAGTCAGTGAAGCTACCTCATCTGGGTTGTCTAACTCATAGGTGCGCCACCACTAATAGGGGGCTCCACTAAGCTAGAAAGTAGTGAAAGAAACCCCGCTCGATCCAGAGATACCATAGTACGGAGAATGCGGTAACACTCATCAAGAAACCCCAAGGCATCGTCCGATGCTAATCCACTGAACACCGGAGGATCATACTTTTTGAACCTCTCTAGTCTCATCTGCTCCTGCTCGGAAGCCGCTGCCATGCCCTCGGGCTGAACTGGTGCTGCAGGCGGCACAGGAATAATCTCAGGGACCTGCTTGTCATGCGCTCGCTGCTCAGGAGTGCGGGCGGCGGGAGTCTGTGCTCCTCCCCCGGCCTGAGATGTGGCTGCAGCAAGGGGAAGCAATCCTGCCTGAGCCAAAGTGGTGTACATACTCATGAACTGTGCCAAAGTCTCCTGAAGGGCTGGAGTAGTAGTGGAAGTAGGCGTGTCAGGTGCCTGGACTCCGGCTGGATCTGCTGGTGGTACCTCGGCGGCAGCTCGGACTCTACCCCGGCCCCGACCTCTGATGGCTGCAGTAGGGGGCGCGGGCACCTGATCACCTCGGGTAGTACGTGTCCTCACCATCTGTGAGAGAGTGGAAGACAGAGGTTCAGGATTGTGAACGTCAAAATCTCGCACGACAGGGAAATCAAATGAAGTAGAATTTTCCTAGCGGTTACATAGCCTCACGCAGATAAGTACAGACGTCTCTGTACTGATCCACGAGACTCTAATAAACCGGCTTGTGATCTGTGACTCCTATGAACCTAGAGCTCTGATACCAACTTGTCACGACCCCAGTTCGCCTCCGTGAACATGTCCTGACGGCACCTAGTCCTTACGACAAGGTAAGCCTAACAATGCGGAAGATAAACAATAATTGCGGAAGAAAGTAAACAAAACTGAAATAGTAAAATAAAACGGTGTTTAAGGTGCCACTCGGCACATACCACAACAATTCTCGAAGCTAACAAAATTCCCAAAACCCGGAAACTCACAAATCACAAGCTAAGGGATACATAAGAGGCTCTGACTCAAGAATTTCTATACAAAGGACAAATACTGAAGGAGCTATACTTATTACAGAAAGCTGGAAAGGGACTCCTCGGTCTGCGGACGTAGCAGATATACCTCGAAGTCTCTACCGATATGCCTCCTTCCAAGGCTGACAGAACTAAGTGAGAGTACCTGTATCTGCACAACAAAAATGTGCAGAAGAGTAGCACGAGCACACCACGGTGGTGCCCA